TGGTAAAGACTATAAGCGAACAATAAGAAACTATAAACTTGTAGACTGGAAAGCGATGAACGAAGACATACAGAGTAGGAACTGGAATCAAATACTAAATATACATGATAACAACAATGACACTGACGTAAATGAAATTGTAAAGAATTGGATGTAAAGAATTTAAAGGCATAATAAACAAGTTTATCCCAGAAAAGACAATAACTATAAGGCAAAATGATCTGCCATGGATTACAACAAAAATAAAACGTTTCATTAGAAGGCGGAACAGAGCTTACAAGATGGCAAAAACACTAAGAACAGACATGCTATGGGACAAATACAAAAAGCTGAGAAATGAAACAATAACCGAACTCAGAAATGCCAAAGAAGAATACGAACTAAGACTCTCACAGAAATTGGTCAATGGAAAAACTGGAACAAAGACCTGGTGGACTGTGGTCAAACAGTTCTACAACGATTTCAGGGCATCAGATAACAATGAAACACCCTTTCTTGTCAATGGTCATTCAATATCAAACAACAAAGAAAAGGCTGAATTATTGAATAATCATTTTTTAGCCCAAAGCAGACTGGAAACTAATCAAGATCCACCAATTCTCCAAGCATCAACTGACAAAAGTATAGAAACGATAAGATTGTCAAATCAGACAGTCGAAGACATACTTATAAATCTGAATCCAGGAAAGTCACTAGGGCCTGACAATATAAGTCCACGTGTTCTAAAAATGACTGCAAAATCAATAGCCCCGATACTGGCACAAATATTTAATGCATCATTAAAACAGAATGTCTTCCCAGATATTTGGAAAGAAGCGAATGTTACACCAATATTCAAAAAAGACAGAAGAGAAATAGCAACAAATTACAGACCAATATCTCTACTAAACTGTGTAGCGAAAGTATTTGAAAGAGCAATGTATACTCATGTACATAACTACCTACACAAATGGAAATTGCTGTCAAAATTCCAATCTGCTTATTCCCCAGGAAACTCCACAACAACGCAACTACTAGAGATGTACAACTACATCATGGATAATAATGAAAACACAAGAGCCGTCTTTTGTGACATGTCAAAAGCTTTTGACCGAGTATGGCATAAAGGCCTAGTAAACAAGTTAGAACGGAAGGGAATCAAAGGAAACTTACTAACATGGTTCAAAAGTTACCTATCAAACAGAAAACAAAGGGTCATTCTCAATGGCGAAACATCCAGCTGGGGGTATATCTCTACAAGCATTCCACAGGGCTCCATCCTAGGACCACTGTTATTTTTGGTGTACATAGATGATATCTTGGAAAACCTAACTGATAAATGCACTGGAAGGATATATGCAGACGATACTACATTTCTTGCAAGTGGAAAAGAAAATGACAACATAATTGAAACTCTCAACGAACAACTACGATCAACAAACGAGTGGGCCAATATATGGCAACTAACCTTCAACCCAGAAAAAACAGAAACAATGTTATTCACGAGAAAACACCAAAATAATGGACAATTTCAACTCACTTTCAATGGAAAAGTTATCAAAGAAGTGACTAACCATAAACATCTAGGCCTGACATTAGACAACAATGGAACATGGGGATCACACATAAGGAACATAACAAATAGAGCAGCCAAGATGATAGATGTCATGCGAGGACTTAAATATAAACTTGACCGAAAAACACTGGAAATTATGTATAAAGCATTTATTAGGCCTATAATAATTGAATATGCCTCTCCAGTTTGGGACAACTGTCATAACTATGAAAAAGACCAACTAGAAGAACTACAACTAAAAGCTGCAAGAATCTGCACAGGGGCAAAAAGAGGAACAAGCCACGAGTTGATATACAAAGAAACAGGTTGGGCAAAACTTCAAGAGCGTCGAACAACACAAAAACTACTAATAATGCACAAACTCATAAACAAAAAAATAACAGACTCGTTGAGCAATGTAATTGAAGCAACCAAGAGAAGGTCTGATCATGATCTCCGACGAGCTAACAACCTATTAATGCCTGTATGCAGAACTGAAGCGTACAGAAAATCATTTCTACCAGCCACAATAAAAGTGTGGAATGACATTGATGCATCAATAAAAAGCACAAAAGCTGAGGAGCACTTCAAAAATAACAAACAAGAAGAAGGTACCAAATTACTATTACTATGGGAAAAGAGACACTCAAATAATACACACACAGATAAGACTTAGATGCAGCGACTAAATGTGAATGCGGAAACCCAATAGAAAGTGCCGAACACTATTTCAAAGAATGTACTTTTGTGATGAGCCTCCCATACTTAGTACAATGTTATGTGTTTATTCTGAGGATTATCACTTTGTTTAAATTGCTCTTACCTTTATTTATCAATTATGTTTGTAGATACTTCATAATTCAGGATTTTATTCAGAATTTTCTTATTTCACTACTTCTTGTTCAGCCATGTTTGTTGATAGTCTCATTAGAAAAAGTTTATATGTGAATTTCTTACACTAGGCACATTATGTCAACTTCATATAAAATGTATGTCATGTTATTGTTTATTTTAGCAATATGTAATGTTTATTTTGTGTGATTGTTTATAGGGGCCAAATTAAGCGAATACATTTTATTTTGAGACTATAAAATTGTGTCTACATTTGCATGAATCATCAATTCTTCAGTGAGACTTTGAATCACCGGCAAGTAACAGGAATTAACTTTCTCTCTGCATTTTGGAATTAATACACATACATATTGGATATATAACATCTTATTACATACACTAACCTAGGTGAACGGGTTGGTAAGGTAATGGAATTACTTTTACTCTAAAACAGAGAAACTGTTTATACTTTTTCCTTGTTGGTGAATCTTCTGATTTCTCTCACTCATTTAGCTTCATTTACATTAGAATAAATTCATTTAAACCACGTTGAGGGTTATTATATCAGGTTCAAATAGAATATTCAGGGCCATTTTGTATGATCACGACTTTGATTTCAATCTGCCTGTTCACGCCTTGTCTCAAATGTGGCTGTACATATTCATATAGCAGATTGATTTGAACTTTCAGAACTTCATTTCTAATTAAACCCTCATAAGCATTGAGTGAGCTGCGTGTACATTCTTGTGAGAAGCATTTCTGATTCATTTGAAATTTACAGATTGACCTACATGTATATTTAAGATTCAATCGCCAACTTGGTATTTTTAGCTTTATCTTATATAATTTGAGGGTAATATCTGCTTGCCAGTGTTGATTATTTGAGTCACTGGAATATTTATACTTAAAATCTACATTTTGAACTGAAAACTTGAGAGAACTACCAGCTATTTATTTCACTTTTATATGTATTGCAACTGCCTTATGTATTCCATATATCCCCAAGGTCGGGTTTGATTTGTCGTAATTAGGCTATGGCAATTTATTTGCTGCTACGCTGTTAGTCTGCGTGGCTCTCGAAATAAGATATAACCCCCCCCCCCTCCACAGCATAGTCTTGAAGAATTTGAACAAGCGTTGCATATTTAACTGTACCAATAATATTTGTGCCACTAAAATATTCACTCTTTATATGAGAATTACATTATAAATTGCAAACTTGTGAGCATCATTGGCTATCTGTTCCACAGCTTTTACACATATAGTTTTATTACACAATCTATTCTTTATATTTCCCGAGACGAGTTGATTTGGAGTTTTTCTAAGGCAATCATCAAATTTGCTGATACTCCGAGGGATCTGTGATGCACCTGGTTAGTATCATCAGGCATGGACTAGTGGCGATTTTTCAGTTGTCAAACAGCTTCACAGCAATAATCGACTTTTGAGCGCTCAATTCATTTCACTGGGCATATTTTATTTACTTTCCTTGATATTGATTGTACTTATACTGGAAATTCTTAGGGAATCTAGCAATTGTTGTATTTTTCACTACATTACCTAATTATTCAAAACATCCCCCGAGCAGGGCTCGATTTTGGGGTAAGCCAGGGCAATTAATTTGCTGCTACTCTTATTAGTCCTAGGGAATTGAGCATAGCCATTGTTGGTATTAATTTGCCAATATAAAGCCTCACAGCATTTTAAATCTTTGTGTGCCGTTGTAATTACTGTGAGTTATTTTTCATAACTGTTTTAAGTTTTTGTCCCATTTGCTACACAATGACTATCCGACCACCTTTCTGTTTTCATTGCATTAATCAAACCCCTGGTCTTAGTCAGCTCCCATGTGGTCACTTTATCTGTATTACATGTAAACACCTTCTGAACATTTGATCACGATTACTATCCCGAACAGGAGATACATGCCTGTACTCATTGTATTGATGCGTATCTGGCTATTTTAGCCAGTACAGAACCCTTCTAAGAATTTATCTTTTATTGTTTTTATGATGACAATACAACCCCCCTTTTGCCTGTATTGAACTAATTAGACAGGTCATTTTACCAAGTGAGGAAAACTGGCAGGCAGAATTGAGAGTATCAAGTTACGTTAATAGTTTGCATTGAATTTCCTAGATACACTGATAAATTTCATGAGTGTATTTGAGTGAAAAGTTACTTTTTTGTTTTATTGCATAACTGACGGTAAATCTATGTAGAATTGTGTGACCAAACACATGTACGTATATATTTTGAAATAGAGTTGAATTATATTCATTTTATATAATTTCCCATTACATTCACTGTTGTGTTGAATGATTGTGTAAAGTGAATGTGGATATAGATCAGTGTTTAAAAAGTCCCCCATTCCCATATATTTTACAATCTATTATCAAGCTAGACCATTAAAAATCCAAATACTTGATAGCTGGGTAACCCAGGACCACGCTACCCAACACCCTGGGTTGCCACAGATGGTGCCAGCGGCTGGGGTCTAGATACTTTACGTATTGACTCACGCATTGGATTATGTCATTATTTGATTTGATATATTGATTGTCAGTATACTGAAGTCTTTGATATATAAACACTGTTTCTTCAATTTATTTGAACATACACACTTCTACACATCATGTCAGTCACATCAGACCCTTATTGTACAGCAAGACACATGTCACTGCCTACAACCGAATCTGGAGAAAGTAATTTATCCCGTCCCCAGTTAAAAGCGGGAAAGACAAACTTTGATGGCTCTGAGATGGTCTTAAGCCATCAAGAGCTCTATGTGAAACAATTGGAATTTGAGATGGATGATACACTACCCTTAGAGAAAAGTACACCTAGCTTTTCCCCAATGAAAGGGCTGTCTCCATTCAAACCTTTGTTGCCACCTCTTAAATTGACCCAAATCCCTAAATTTCAGAGAAGTGTATCTAAATTGCCTGATGCAGGTGACTTGACAATGAAACCATTTCTTAAACCTGTAAAACCAGAAAGAACAGATCATGATTTGGATCCAATACAAATTTCTGGTTATAAAACAGAAAACCCAAAAGTAGTATATAAGGGTCAAATTGATCCAAGGTCCACCGAGGAAGGTCCCATGGCGAGGGAAATATTAATGGGTACACATGGTCGAGAACCTACAAATTTAGCTTTTGAGAAAGCTGTACCTGATTATGGAGAAAAGGCCTCCACTCATCAAAAGGTTTTAACCTCACGTGCCTCTCAAGATTTCTCCCATTCCCAATGTTTGACACCAAAAAAAATGAAACAGACGAGAAAATATGACCATTCAATGCCAAGCTATGATCCAGTTGGCCAAACTTACAAAACAGGAGTAGTAAGTAGGGCACAAAACACAACCCCCCAATGCCAGGTGCCAACCCCGGCACCGGCACCTCATGAGAATGACATGCTGTTAGGAGCATATGGGGGTGAACTTTTGAAACGAACTTTGCAAAGTCCCCTACTCAGCTCATCTGACAAGAGGCCACAATCTTTGACATATTATAACTCTCAGTATGTGAAAACGAGTGATTTACCTAGAGGGCTCCAAAGCTATCAACATATGCCTCAACCTGAAAATACACCTTTCAGACAATTTTCAGAATTGAAAAGGTCAGATGATGAAGCCCTATATAGACCAAGTAAATCCCCAATACCTTACCAAATCCCAGCTTTTGACATGTCTGATGTACTAAGTTTATCAGGTATTCCAACCCAGAGTACAGACTATTCTGCCAGTGGTAGAGAGCCGTATGCTCTCCCTAAGAGGGTAGATGACCCATATGATTCATATTCTGAGACAAGGTCATGGGTTGAGGCTCATATGCCTCGTTATAATAGAGATTTTACATTTTGGCATGCCAACCTAAGGGCATGGGTGCACTAATGTCCTATCACTTTTGGAAGAGTTTATTTTCATTCAAAAGGTAGTATAGGAGTCGATACATTTTATAAGCACAACATTTGAATACACACTCAGTCACGCCTAACCATCGCGTAAGCAGGCGTCACCGTACAGCGTCAAAAAATACAGTAGTACAGTTTTCTGTACGGTGACGAAAATTAACTGAGTTGGAGCAAAAACTATAATGAGGGTTTTAAAAAGATTAATTAGATGAAAATAAATACTATTTCGGGTGTAATAAAAACAGCATTCTCTTAGGAATGGTTTTAACTTTCTAATTATGATAAAAGTTTTTCGAGCACTGCTCGGATTTTTTCTGACTGGATCGGCCCACATAATTGACTCGAGAGAAAAATGGTGTTTTTTTCACTTTTCGTTTGGTTATTATTAAATTTTCCCTGTCGTCTGAGAGTATGGATTATTTATTTGAGAATATGTATTTGTTATCTACACATTTTAGAACAGATGAATATTCGGCAAATAATCATTCAGTGTATTTATTTAAAAAAGATCAGAACTGTACGGTGACGCATCAGCTGTACGGTGACGCTTCTTTAGATTTTATGACGTGCTCTAAGCTTACTGTTCGAACAAGAGGTAAAGAAGCGTCAGATCTACATGTACATTATCACTGGTAAGTATCAAGCGAAGGTTACAGCCGTCACCTTCGCATTTAAGATGGCGGACAGGAAGTATTAATTTCGATATTTTTAGTTTTCATGGAATTAACTATTTGAAGGTTGACGTAATGCTTTGGTATCATCTGAACTAAACTTTTCTCATATGACTAACAAAGATAGACAGCCATCTTTACCCCATGCAAGATATTGCATCTTCCATCCTAAAAAGTCACACGTGCAAGATGAGATTTACTTGTGACATCCCTTGTTTTAAAACATCAATAACATAGCAACAAGAGAGCTTTTGGTTTCATGATCTTTACCGTATCATACATTTCCAGTAACCTTCCATTAAGCTGTGGAAGATATCGTTGAACTGTAGCGCCCATGCACTATATATGAACAAATGATCATACTCCAGAGTTTCCATTTCATACAATCTTAGTCTCATTCAGTTCATCAAAGCATAGCGTCACCGTACAGCTTGTGCGTCACCGTACAAATTTAATCTTTTTTAAATATACATAATGAATGGTTGTTTGCTGAATCTTCGCCCGTTCTAAAATGTGTAAGTAACAAATACATATTCTCATAAAAATAATCCATACTCTCAGACGGTAGGGAAAATAATAACCAAACAAAATGTGAAAAAACAACCTTTTTTCACTCTGGTCGATTATGTGGGCCGATTCACTCAGAAAAAATCCGAACAGTGCTCGTAAAACGTTTATCATAATCAGAAAGTTAAAACCATTTCTAAGAGAATGCTGTTTTTATTTCACATGAAATCGTATTAGTTTTCATCCAATTAATTTTTTTAAACCCTTGTCATAGTTTTTGCTTCAAAGCAGTTAATTTGCGTTACCGTACAGAAAACTGTACTCCGCTATTTTTTGACGCTGTACGGTAACGCCTGCTTACGCAATGGTAAGGCGTGTCAGTGGAGTCAGTTACTTGAATAAAACCTAGACATTGCAAATCTATATAGTAAGGTATTAGTATAGTATATAATTTATCAATTGTGCAAAAGACCCCATGCAGAACAGTTCTAGTGATAAAGACAATCTTCCCATTACAAACCAAAGGCTTTACCAAAATGCCCAAAAATCACTATTGATTTTTCTATTATTGCAGACATTTATGGTTAGTTTATTGACTAAATTTCACAAACAGGCACAATTCTAAAAAATCTTACTTGGAAATGCAAATTAAGGTGCTATGGAAGTTAACAGGAAATGACAAAACAAAAAATGTCAAAACCATGCTGGATTTTGAAATTTTTTTGAATCAAGATAACAGAGTTCTGTTTGGACCTCCACTCAGTTTAATTAGTTCCACATATCATTTACATGACTGGGAACACAAGGAAAATGGTCAGAATGACCATAAACACGATGAAATAACCTTTTCAGCCTTCTGAAAATGTGACTGAAAAATAGCTAAGAGTAGGTGCCCAGGAAAGGTCACTGAACTTTTTCAGAAAATGTGCCCAATATATTACTCTAAATGATACAATTTTAAAAAATTCATATCATTCTCAGAAAAAGAAAAAAAAAGAAAAAAAACTGAATTTAAAATCGATCTATTTTCCTTTTAACTACAGCAATTATTGTTTCAGACAATTTTTTAAAATTTCAAAGATTGTATCATTTAGAGCAATATATTAGACACATTTTCTGAAAAAATCAAGAGATTATGTTCATTGACCTTTCCTGAGCACCTACTTTTAGTTATATTTTAGTCACATTTTCAGAGGGCTGAAAAGGTTATTTCATCATGTTTATGGTCATTCTGACCATTTTCCTTGTGTTCCCGGTCATGTAAATATGTTGAACTAGTTAAACTGACTGGAGGTCCAACAGAACTCTGTTATCTTGGTTCAAAAAAAAATTTCAGACTCCAGCATGGTTTTGACATTTTTTGTTTTGTCATTTCTGTTAACTTACATAGCACCTTAAATTACAAATTAAAATGTGTTGCATGAAACACCTTGATGAATTTGTTCATACAAACTGGAGAAAGTATATAATTGGGTTCTCCACTTTCAATGAACACATTTTTTGTACTTTCTCCTGCATGTATGATTAAATATTTTGTGTCCATTCTCCAACATGCATAAGCAAATGATTTGTACTTTCTTCATTGTGCATGAACAAAAACGTTGTTCATTCTAACGTTGTTAATTAATCAATGTGTCAGAACGAATAAAATGTACCTAAACCAGGGAGTATGAACGAATTTAATGTACTACAATATCTATAATGTGTATGAAGAGACATTACGCTCTTTCTCCAGTATGGACATGAACCCCACACGCCTGTGTATATACTTTCTCCAGTATGTATGAACAAATATCATGTACTCCATTGTTTATGAACACACATTTTGTATGAACAAATACTATGTACCTTCTCCAGTGTGTATGAACGTACAGAGTATTGGTTAAATAAATAGTGAAAGTACATAATATTTGCTAATACACACTGGAGAAAGTACATGATATTTGTCAATACACACAGTTAAAATTTATTGTTTCATATATACACTGGAAAATATAAATAGTAGTCCATACACACATACACAGAAAGTAAATAAAACAATAAAATATTGGTTTAGGCACACGGGAAATTAACCTAGTTTCGATTCATACATACTGGAGAAAGTATACACAGAGGAGTGTGACTCAGAAAATGTGACTCAAAAACATTTAAAAGTTGGATTTTTAGAAAGGTCACAATGCAATTGCATTTTTGAGAACGTGTGCCAAATATATTATTTAAAATTATAGAAGCTTTTGAAAATTTGAATTCATTCCTAAAAATAGAAAAAATGAGAAACTGCTTTAGAAAGCAATCCATTCTCTTTTTATGAGCAAAATTTTTGTTTCAGACAACTTTTCAAAATTTCAAAGCTCCTATGACATGTATGATTTAGAGTAATATATTGGGCACATTTTCAGAGAAGTCTTTCACATGATGTTTAGGGTCATTCATTCATACAAACTAGAGAGAGTATGAGAATATTGATTAATCCAATCTGAGTAATATGATAGATAGTTGATTCTTCAACTAGAGAGGTTTACTTAGATTTTGAATATCAAATAGATTTGGATCAACTGTTATAAAAAATCTGATCTTCTTAACTTAACTTTGAGCATGCAGATAGATATTCAATGGATTTACATAAAATGCAGAGTTCCTGTGACAATGGCATTTATTTTTAATGATCAAGAAAGTACTTTGCACCCTGCCGCAAAATTAGGAAGAAGCCAGAGCTTTCATTCTGGTACACATCGCATCTAGAAACATGTCCGTGTCTATCATGTAAGAAGAGAGGGTCAAGGTATTCCATGATGGAGCATTTTGGAAACCCTTCTTAGAAATTGCTATGCTGAAAATGGGCTATTGGTATACCTGTACACTATGTACAAGTAATGCAGATTGCTCCGATTTTCACTACGGCGCCATGCCAGTTGAGTATTTTGTTCAAAATTGAATACAATATTGAACAAACGGAGCAAATGTGACCCAGGCATCAGTGAAGTATGAATTTATTTTGTTAGGATGCCAGTCAGAGCTCTTGATGCAAGTACCAAGTTTGCAAACATGCATGTCAACCATGGCCAATTAGAAAAGTGCACCCCTTCTATATGATAATATAAACCCTTCCTTCACCTTGGTTTAGCTTTGGATCACTATGCTATCACTATGTGGCAGAAATGCATTCTGATTGGATATAAATGATCACATGACTTAGTTCACCAAGGTATCAGGAGATGGCATGCCAAAATGTAAAATCTCTATTAGGGCTACCCCACAGTATCATGAAATGATAGAAAAGGATGCTAGGTTAAACAGAAAATGCCCCATCAAAAGCTATCCATAAGACAGAGAGAAAATGGATGTCATACTAGGTCATCCCACACTGAATCAGAATTTCCCTCTCCAGAATACGAGACAGCTGTTGACTTTTCTGATCCAGAATGTATTGTATATAGTATGGAGCGCCCATTTCACTCTGTAAAAACTAAACACAGATCAAAGTCCCAAATGAGCGACTCTGATGAGTTTGCGTCTGCAATGGAAAATAGTTTTCCTCCCATTAGACCTAGAGTGATGGGAAGGCCAAAATTGCAGCAAAGATCCCCTGGCTTTTATAGAAAGACTAAAGAATCCATGGCTCCATTTTTACCACAGTCCGATACATCTGATCAAGAGTCCATGGCCAGAGTTGTAAATCCAGGAAGAGACAGTTTTCTTTCTAGAAAGGAAATGAAAGCACCACTTTTCAATGGAAAGTGTAGCCTGTCTGCCTTCTTAACTCAATTCAGGCTTGTCTCCGACATAAATGGATGGTCAGATG